CCATGTGGATTCTTTGAAGGTCACTCAACAAAATCCACCGCACGACCACAAGGCTTAGACAATCATTGTTAGCATGTTCAGCCCAACCTTCTTTCCTTTTGCACTCAGCTTAGCAAGTTTAATTTTGCTAATTGATCGATTTAAAGTATCCCCACTCCTAAAGACATCTAGTCCATTTCTCTTTACAGAAAACGCAACAGCATATAAAGCGGTCGAAGTTCATTTCGGAAATGGAACATAGGTCGATAAAAACAAAAGTCGAACAAACGCTGAACTGAAGCTCTCTGTATTGCTAGTTGCCAAATCGGCAACGAACTCGCAAAAGATATCCGGAGGCGATTGCATGCAACAAATTATCGGCTGCCCTAATCGTTGTCAAATAGCGCGGCAACCGATGCTCCCAATCTCTGTGTTTCAAGGAGCGCCTTTCATCGTGAGAGCGACACTCCACTGTTACCTAATGTTTCGTGATCTTTCTAAAACTAGAGTGTCTTGCTTACATCAAGGAGTGAACAACAGCTCGTCAACTTCTGCATTTTCGTGCGTTATACCACAATTTTATGCTTGCCATGACAATGTCGTAATTCTTGACTTTTTCCAAAAAGATGAATCTTAGAACGCACGGAGACTAATTCTTCAGCTGGCTGATCACTGCTGCGTTGGCGTACGAATGGTGTCAGTGACAAACGTAGTTGGAGTCTGCAAAAAATTCGTTACGAGCACATCGTATTTAAGCACGTCAGTCGTATAAGAATCGTCACGGGACTGGAAATGATTAAAAGTACATATATGGACATGTATACAATACTCCTTCGCTTTCATGATAACTGCAGCTTGACCGCCACTCCATTGCCGGGCCCTATTAAAGATGTAGAGGTCAAGACAGAATAAATCATCTTTTCTTTTGATTCGATGTGCACGTTCATTCCTCTGGATTCCATACGAGGACCGCTCTGTTTCTTCATCGTTCTTTTACGTCTTTTCAAAAGCTATGAAGCCTGCTTAATGCAGCCTAGGAGTTTCTTGTCGAATCTTGTGAAGTAGTATATAGGGCCTCCTGTCACTAATAAAATGGACATGATGCTTTTCAACAGTCTGCAACTGTTCGACACCTTGCCATTAAAGGCAGTGTCCGGGCAAAAAGTCGATTCTGAGATTT